TTGTCACCATGAGAAAATAAGTACATTTTATAAAAAGCATTAAAATCACTCAAGCATTAAAGACACTTTTAAAAGCTCTAATAGCCTTCCTACTTAAAATAAGAAATAATTTTGATACTGTAACTGTAAAAAGAGTGGAAATGATTATAGAGCAGCTTTCAGTGCTTTCTATATTTTATTAGCTTTCACGGTGAATAAAAAATTATTACAAGTAAATAATTTTACTAAACCAATCTTTGATTAATTCTTTCTTTCTTTCAGCCATTTTTTTTATATAAAAAAAAAAACAAAAAATGTTATTAAAAAAAAATTGTGATTATATGATGATTAGACATTATTATGTAATACAGGATGTTAGTAAATAAGTGCGACAAATTTCAGGGGGTGATTCTACATGAGAAAATAATGGCAGTTTGCTTATAAACGTATGTCCGCAAATGATTCGTTTTCCGAGATACGGGGTGTCAAAGTTTTTCTTAAAAACTGACGATTTAATTTACTGCTCCGAAGCCGGTCGAGATGTGCAAATGAAATTTAGTGGGTTTTAAGAGGTAGTTATTGCGCATTTTTTGACACGCAATTAAGAATTTTATGTTCATCATTGGCGCGCGTACGGGTAATAATCCCAATTTTTTTAAAGAAAAAAATGGTACGCCACTGAGATATTACAAATTAAAATCATTTTTGAATTCCTCGTTCAATTTGTGACAAAAAATCTCCCTTGCCTTTTCTTCGTATGGGGCGCCGTTTTGATGCAAAAAAATAAAACATTTTAACGCGTATTTTTTATTTCTTTCAGTTACCTTAAGTTTGTATTGAGCGAATTCTACTTACTAAAATATTATAAAATTGTCATACTATATTTAGCAATGTCAATCCTGGATTTCAAGACAACCAGATCATCAGCATGCCTTGTATTATAATTATGATTATCATAATTCTGTCGAAGATCCTTTATGTTACGGTGAATGTTGAGTAATGACTCTATACAGATACAAAAGATGGCCGATCCAATATGGGGGATGTAAAAATCGGAAAAGCATTCAAAATTTGAAAATTATGGCTGAAACTTACTCGGTGGTTTTTAAAGTCGCGAATATAAGGTTTTAATTCGAAAATTCTTATATGGCGATCCCATTATGCTGGATTGAAAAATTCTTTAGAAATTGGTATTTACCACCCAAAGAAATGCGACTCTTGATGCTTATGTGCAATAAACTAAAATTTGACAGGGGTGTTCTAGGTCAAGTGTGAACACCCTATATTACCTGTCAATAATTTATGAAAAAATTAGATATAACTCTTATGAAGCAAGGCGCTTATGGCAACTGATATCCAAATCGCTGAGTAATTTGTTGTGTTGTATGTATTATAGATACTGCTAGTGTTATTCCTCTTCCTGAGTGAAATCCACAGCAACAAATTCCTGATCGGGTAGAAGCACAAATACTATATATTGTTGAAAATAATTTTGAAATAAACTCGAGGTAAATTGACAAAATAAACTGGTATATTTAAGTAAAATACCGATTTTTCTCCTATCACGAGCAACAATACTGCATATATCGACAATAGCAAATTTTTCTCACATACAGATTTGTATGTGGTTTTCGTAATAATTTTATCTACAAAATTCTAATTGTTGTGACCCTACTTTTGTATTTATTTTGTGATTCTGTTACAAAGTGAATATACAGCAATTATATCGCGGACATAAAACTTCTTGATATTTTTGCACTTTGCACTTTTATCTCTATTCCAACATCCACCGCAAACCTTCATAAACCATAATAAATGTGGATTAGCACGTACCAATTTCGCGTTATAAACTTTATCTGAAAGCTTTCCGCAAATTCCTGTTTTTGCTGGATATAAAAACTTTGATCCTAGACACCTCTGAACTCTAAAAACACTCCTAAAAAGCGATACGTGCCGTCATATATCGTTTATTTTTAGTGTTGGCTATATAGGGAGTGTCTAATCATTGCCTTAAGCGCGCTTTTGTTATCTTTGCACGATTCCCTACGTTTTTATGATAGATAAAAATAAAGAACCGGACCCTTATTTAGGAATGATCTAGCTGTATCATAAATATCCTTACTAATCTTTCTCTCTGCAGATATAGATTTTTTTTTCGAGAAAATTATACTTTAATATTAGTTAATGAAGTGTGACCTAATATGAAAAGACAGCACGTTATTTCTCTCAAACTTGAGTAATTGCTTTTTAAGATACAAATGCAAAAAGTTATTATTTGTTATTATGGCCTGGTTAAGTCGCTTCATTTATGTTAATTTTATAATTTTGAGTGATGGTGTTGGCACTAGCCCAATTGAGTTGTATCGAAAGTACCTAACCTTGCGTCCACAGAAAACAACCAACCGACTGTGTCTCAATTACCAACAAGTCAAATGTACCTTTCAACGTCTAGGCATTGACATTTGCGAAAAACTACCTACGAATATTTATAAATTCCTGAACCTAGAAACATGTCCGCTCTTTCATTTTGCAGATCAGCAGCTACTTAGTAGATTGTGGGGTGCATGTCATTACTTTGAAGCGTTTTTAGAGGTAGAAAAAGTGACAAAATAGCTGAAAGATATGTCGAAGATTCCTTCGAAAAAAACTGCTTATTTTATGGTTATTTCTGACGGTACATCTTCTACTGATTCCTTTACAGAGTAGCAATTACTAATAGAATGGTGTGTCACAAAGAACTGGTTCCCCTTGTGTTAGTTTTGGTATTGGAATCTAATTTCACGATAAAAATGTTCACTTTAATATTTATACCAATAAACAGTTTAATGTTATTTTCTTTATTTAAATTATAATTACATATTTTATTTCTCTCACTTCTCATCACTAAAAAAATAGTCACTAGTGATTGAAATTTGATTTTAGTCACTTTTAGTCACTAAAAACTAACCTATAACCTAAGCACACGACTGCAAATGTTGGACAGCGATGTTTTTTAACCTATTTCATTCTTATGCGACAGAGCAAAAATGAAAACTAAAATAAAATAAAAAATAAAATATTTCAGTTAATTGTCGCTAGCACCACACCATGAATTCTTTCAGTCTAATCGAATGGTACATTTTTCCTCTTGAACCAAATAAGGCTGGACTATATTGTGTAGGTGCTTCACACATATTAGAGTGTCCCAACCCCTGTTCAGCGCCATCTACATACCTACCCTCCTACAATTATTTCCACTGTCTCCCGCTTTAACTAATGGCCGGCCACCGAAATTCGGAACCGTTAGTGCTAAATCAAATGAGAATTTAATTAATTTGGTGCTTTTTTAAAGTTATTTATAAAGGGAGCATATACCCTAACGAGCAAATATTTTATTTTCTGTTAAAGTAATTAGAGCTACCAAGTTACTTTGAAGATATTTTTAGATTTGAAATATACAAGGTATCCGCGGTATAAGTGGTTGATCGGAGTTGGATTTTGCTTCCTCACGGTCAATAACATCTCGTAGCATCGGTACGATAAGTATAATTCAACAAAATACTAGACTAAATGATTCTCCAATAATTATAAACGAAGATAGCTCAGTTCGGGAAACAACAAAAACAACAGAAAACGGATTACAATTGATAGACACTGATAAAAAAAGATGGAATTATTTGGCTGGATATCTTATTATCATATCTTTTCATAACAAAATGACTAGGTAAATTACACAGCCCCATAAAAAAGTTATATACCAGTGCATGAGTATATAGATTTTGTGCATTTTTTGAAGCTAAATCCGAACCCACAGCTCAAAAACCGATCTATCGGGGAATTTTTCAGTAAAACGTTTAAATATCCCTTAAAAGAGGGTAATAATGAGGATAATAGGGGATATTTTATCGTTTTACTAAATAATGTCCTGATAGATTGTTTTACGGATTCGGATTCAGCATCAAAAAATACAAAAGATCTATGTACTCATGTCTCTGGTACAGAACTTTTTTTTGTGGACTGTGTTATCGGCATCAAAATGAGTAGCCTACTGGAGCCTACATCTTCGCACTCGAGTTTCTTTTTGTGTGTGCCAGTGCTATTATGTAATTGTATCACTGCATTAAACACCATTTTCACCAGGACTTTGCACACATGTTCAACTGGGGCAATGGGAATAATAACAAATATAATTGTGCAATGAGGATGTTTACTCTGATACTAAATACGAGTTTATTTAGAGAACTTACTTTATCTGTTTTAGTTCAAATATGACTATAAATTTGTAAAATTGTCAAAATGCTATTAAATGGAAATGTACTAAATAATTTCACTCAATTGATTCACCCATGTATTCACCCAGACTAATTATTTGAGTAACCAAATTCAAAAAATCTCGGACAGCACACTCACTAACTTTAATAAGTCCAGGAACATTCAAGAACATTAGCAAAATAAAACATAAATAAGTTCCATTTCCGTCACGGGATTCAGATTGAAACAGCATCATCACTCTTTGGTTATATTTCAACGACACTTGAAATCCGGTCGCAAATAATTGTTAATTAATTTGCAGCAATCTGTAACACAAATTACTACTCCCATCTCTCTCCAGGAATTAATCGATCCTCCTTACTGAATCCTGAGGTATTTGTTCGCAACAGTCTACTAATTCCTCTCTTATCTAACTGATCTCAGCTGCGGAGATTCCAACAGAACCTCACCGAGACAGTTTCTATGAAAACCAAAGTTTTAAACCTCTTGGTTTGTTAATGATTACCATAAAAAATTCGGATAGACATAAATGTTTTGATTTTTGTTTTAATAATTCTTGGAGGTATACATTTTTTTACCCAAGTTTTGAATTTATTAACTGGTGTCAGTATTACTAGTACACGTAAACTAAATGGAACTAGCCATGATTATAAAAAGAATATTCTTTGGTATATCCTGTTTTCTAAATGTTATAATTTTGTGATTTTGAAAGTAAAACTATGCATTTTATTTCAGAATGGATTCCAATGTATCCGACTTACCAAAGAGAGGCAGATAAGCTGTCAAAATAAACATAGACACTACCTGCATATAACCAAAGAACTGAAAATATATAAGGTAAGGATCATTCAGTTACTACGTGTAGATACTGTATACTGTTAAATATTTTTTGTAAGTATATCTTTTCTGACCATCTATAAATATATTTTATTCACCCTTGCTCGTATATGATACATGGTTGTTAAGAGTACAGTTCTATTTTAATGAAACTTTTAATTAATTCCGAAGTTAGTATCATATTTCAGCAATTTCTGTCCAGGGTTTTCAATGAAGCTGAAGGTGGGTGACATAGTTTTATTTTTAATTTTCTAAACCAATCGAACTAGCAATAAAACATTTAGGGTATGCGCGTACTACTCAAACAGCAGTAAACAAATAAATAAAGAAATGGAATACAGAAAAATATGTAAATAATCTGTTTGTTCACCTGATTTTTACAGCACATAACACACTTGAAATCTTATGGTTAATCTTCGAGTACTGGCACCAGGATCCTCTTCCTCGGCGTTTAAAATTTCTCATTTTAAGTTTCTTTGTCTCTTCTTCCCATCCCACATTAGCATCCCGTAATCTTCTAAATGTTGAACCAATTTTTCTTATTCGATACTTATATGTCGGGATAATCCATCTGACATCGTCTTCTTGCAACAACACCATTTCGTCCTGACAGAGTAAGTTCTAACCATATAAATTCTTCCTTGATTTGTATACATGCTTTTTCATAACATCGCGCAAAAGAGAAAAAGAAGAAAAGAGAAAAACGAAAACACAAAAATACACTACTATCACTAAACATTGAAATAATTAATACGTTTTTTAAAGCGACAAAAATAACATAGACACACAAAAAAAATATGGTGACATTAAAATAACACATCACTAAATCATACAAAAGCAATCTGTTTTCAATTGTGCTGCATAGTTCATTGGCAAAACTTACCACGCTAATTCCGGGAGCAAAAAAGAATTTTAGAGCAGTTTAAAAAACCAATTATAACTCGAATAACAGAGGTCCTAGAATAACGTGTACATCCGAAATCGCTTCGTTTGGCCGCTAGATGGCCACAAAATTCGTGAAAATTTTTTGAATTTTGTAAATAACTCGAATACGTATTATTTTTGGGATGTGGACTTTTGCGTCCAATCTACAAATTTTGGTGTTATATATAGTGTTTTTTAAAACTTACAACTCCTACAAAATTGATTTATGATGATAATATCCGTTCATAAATTTTTCCTCTTTCGGGCAATAATGACAACTATTTTAAATTTGATAGGTGATACTATTTGGAAGTTTTTGGACCTCTTGTAGAATTTTGATTGAATGAGCGGTTTGGATACAAAAAAATATTTTTTTAATGTATCTTGCCATTCATATCACAATACAATTCAAAAAATTTTCACGAACTTTGAGGCTATTTAGCGACCAAATGTAGCGATTTCGAATATAGGTAAATTAGCCTATATCTGCATATTTTGAGTCCACGAATCTGTGGTCTTACGTTGCACATGTTACTCTGGGACACCCTGTATTTAATTAAAAAAAAAAAGAATTTTAGATTCGTATTCAGGGAAACACGTATTAGGTACTACCCTTAAAAAACTGACCCCTCTTAAAGTTACACCTTTTATATCACTACAGACTTGGATCAGTTGTACAACATCCTGTATATTTGCCGCAAGTGAGAAGTACCACTTAGCTCTTCATAAATCTGACATTTATTCAACATGAGAAACTTCGTCTATTGGAGTACCGCGAAGCTCTATACCCTCGATCTAAAAAAGTCGCCTATAATTTTATACGGCGAACTAAGTGGGTTGGCGCCAGTGCTCCCGCGTCGCCGTCAACAAATCGGTCTGCTTAGCTCTAGTAAACAACTTTGTTCTAAAACGTGTCTTTTTATTTCTGGTTTCATTAGTCTCTCGCTGTCGGACAGCTCGCCCGCTCCATTGTACCCATCGCACTAAATAAAGGGCGATATGACGGTGCAAAAACCGTGTCAGACGCCTGTTTCGCAGAAAAAAGCCGTATTTAAAGGAACTGGTTGCACCAGATATTAATTTAGTAGCTAGAGAAGAATGGGGACATAAACTAAAATGCAAATCTTGTATGCAATTGTTCTATAACAGTATGTTTTTATTCTCAAACTGATAATAACGACAAAAAGCTGGAATAACATTAATAAGTACATAATATACATATATATATATATATATAT